GGTGTACACGTGAGAAGTGGAACGCAAATCATACATGATTCCAAACATTTTTTACAAATAAATAACTGAAAAGTGGGGTGTGCGTAATTATTCAGCCCCCTGAGTCAATACTTTGTAGAACCACCTTTTGCTGCAATTACAGCTGCCAGTCTTTTAGCGTATGTCTCTACCAGCTTTGCACATCTAGAGACTGAAATTCTTGCCCATTCTTCTTTGCAAAACAGCTCCAGCTCAGTCAGATTAGATGGACAGCGTTTGTGAACAGCAGTTTTCAGATCTTGCCACAGATTCACGATTGGATTTAGATCTGGACTTTGACTGGGCCATTCTAACACATGGATATGTTTTGTTTTAAACCATTCCATTGTTGCCCTGGCTTTATGTTTAGGGTCGTTGTCCTGCTGGAAAGTGAACCTCCGCCCCAGTCTCAAGTCTTTTGCAGACTCTAAGAGGTTTTCTTCCAAGATTGTCCTGTATTTGGCTCCATCCATCTTCCCATCAACTCTGACCAGCTTCCCTGTCCCTGCTGAAGAGAAGCACCCCCAGAGCATGATGCTGCCACCACCATATTTGACAGTGGGGATGGTGTGTTCAGAGTGATTTGCAGTGTTAGTTTTCCGCCACACATAGCGTTTTGCATTTTGGCCAAAAAGTTCCATTTTGGTCTCATCTGACCAGAGCACCTTCTTCCACATGTTTGCTGTGTCCCCCACATGGCTTGTGGCGAACTGCAAACGGGACTTCTTATGGTTTTCTGTTAACAATGGCTTTCTTCATGCCACTCTTCCATAAAGGCCAACTTTGTGCAGTGCACGACTAATAGTTGTCCTATGGACAGATTCCCCCACCTGAGCTGTAGATCTCTGCAGCTCGTCCAGAGTCACCATGGGCCTCTTGGCTGCATTTCTGATCAGCGCTCTCCTTGTTCGGCCTGTGAGTTTAGGTGGACGGCCTTGTCTTGGTAGGTTTACAGTTGTGCCATACTCCTTCCATTTCTAAATGATCGCTTGAACAGTGCTCCGTAGGATGTTCAAGGCTTGGGAAATCTTTTTGTAGCCTAAGCCTGCTTTAAATTTCTCAATAACTTTATCCCTGACCTGTCTGGTGTGTTCTTTGGACTTCATGGTGTTGTTGCTCCCAATATTCTCTTAGACAACCTCTGAGGCCGTCAGAGGTATTTGTACTGACATTAGATTACACACAGGCACACTCTATTTAGTCATTAGCATTCATCAGGCAATGTCTATGGGCAACTGACTGCACTCAGACCAAAGGGGGCTGAATAATTACACACACCCCACTTTGCAGTTATTTATTTGTAAAAAAAAAAAATGTTTGGAATCATGCATGATTTTCGTTCCACTTCTCACGTGTGCACCACTTTGTGTTGGTCTTTCATGTGGAATTCCAATAAAATTGATTCATGTTTGTGGCTGTAATGTGACAAAATGTGGGAAAGTTCAAGGGGGCCGAATACTTTTGCAAGCCACTGTATTATTTGTAGACACAACGCAGGTTAACAGTTAAGTGCCTTTTTATGCTTGAATGATTCATACATCAGTGTTAAGTGGCTTAACAAACAAAACTCGTGTTTCTTTGAAAATGGTCAGGTACAAGGACAGGACTGGAAATGAGTGAAAAAGCAGCCAAGGCCAAACCTTTGAAAGACCTTCAGAAACCCTGGAGAACTATTGCTAAAGAGCAGTTTAATGAGGGGTGTGTGGCACAAGGGTTTTTCACAGTACTATATAACATAGCACTTAGAAATGCTTTCTTTCTGTAGCTCCCTTGGTGTGAAATAACACACTCTCTTTTGAATTAATCAAAATGTGCATTTTTCCTGCACTGCAGTGCCAAAAACATGCATGCAAAACATGTTTGCAGGCTTGCCCTGTAAACATTCAACATGTTTGAATGTCCCATGGCGAATATGAAAAATGAAGAAAGCTGCATGAGCTGAGATATTGCACCCTCATCCAACCTTTGGGTGTGTTTCTGCCTGAAAAAGCCGGTCATTCCTCTGCGTTTCTGTGAAACTGGGTGATTTAAGATGGGAGCAAATGTCAAAGCAGATTCTGAGTACAGCCCCAGGGTTGTTACTTCACAGTCCGCACACATGGTGCTTTGGACAGCTTCCAGTATGAAATCAGGTCAGGATTTTCTGCTAGGAAACCCACCAAGTCAGCAAAAGAACTGGCCATAGCTGTATAAACAAAGCTTGGGCAGGACACAGACTAGCTCTACCTATTTTCTCCCTCAGTTTCATTACAGATATTTGTCTAGTGTTTCTAAAGGTTTTTAGTTATTGGATCAACGGGCTGCCTGTCATGTTTATTTAAGGCGAAACTAACCTTCAGCACTGTTATCACTGTTAAATAGACCTTATCCCCTTTCAGATAATTTGGATTTACCACAGCATTGGCCGTGGGTGGGTGATGGTGGTGGGGGACTATCGGAGACCAAAGTGCTTCTCGGGACTAGAGATGAGTCTCAACAGTAACACAAGGATCTTGGGATTCCACGTGTGCCGCCGCTGGGATGGTCTGGGTTCAGCCTTCTGATTGGACACACCTTTTTCTTGGTACACGCCTTCCCCATTTTCATCCATGTGGGGCGGGACCTGAGCTGCCTTTGCACCCATGATTGGCCCAGAGTAAGCAAATTTACAGCTTTTGCTCGCCTGGTTCTTGGAGCAGGTCATAAAGGCAGTTATAAATAGGACGCTCAACCGGTAAAACAAAATGAGCGTCGACATCCGAGAGGCCCGCGTTCCGTCACCGCTCCATGATCTTAGTGAGAAGGATGTTGCAGCAAGCGCTCAGAGTATCCGGCCGGACGGCATTCCCGCTGGTCAAATTGATGGAGAGGTGGGCTGAGGGTGCAGCAGCCGGTTCGGAGGGCACCAAGATGCAGGGAGTGAAGACGCTGAACGAGATGCCCGGGCCGTCGGTCACCAGCTTCGCCTGGGACTTGTTTGCCAAACGCGGTCTGTCACGTCTGCATGAGTTACAGGTAAGAAGATAAACACGAAAAAAAAAAAAACCCTGTATGAGATATTTACAATTATTGCACGTTTACTAAAAATATCCAAAGTGCACGTATCGTCATTGTAGACTAAAAACGTGAGTGCAGGTGGTTCTTTTTACATAACACAATGCAAGTACTTTGACTCCCCTCTCAATGTGACATTTATGAAATATCCTCTTACATTATTTTTCGTCCCCTCTGCGAAGTTTCGCTGTCTCACAAAAGCACATCCAGTCTATACCTTCTGCTTCAAGCTGTCTCTCACTTCAGTTTAAAATCTCTGTATCTACTGAGAGCTTTGCACTTCACTCTAAGCTGAATGAACTGTCCTTTGTCAACGTGACAGATCGTGCCTATGTGAAGTGAATGCATCCTTAAAACAAATAACTAATAACTAGTGCATTAAAACGCCTGCAAGGCAAATACATCTCTGCAGTAATCTCTAAACTGGAGGGAGGAGGGTGCCTCCAAAGGTGATGGTTGCAGTGCCTTTACAACCTTTGTCTCATCTCCTAGCTGGAGGGAGTCCAGCGGTATGGACCTATGTGGAAGGCAAGCTTTGGTCCCATCCTGACAGTTCATGTGGCTGATCCATCGCTCATTGAGCAGATCCTGAGGCAGGAGGGCGAGCACCCAATGCGCTCCGATCTTTCCTCCTGGAAGGACTACAGGAAGCTGAGAGGTCATCACTACGGACTTTTGACAGCGTAAGCTTGCAGGAAAATCTTTCAGCTTTACTTCCTCCGCTTTTCCATTTTGTTTCTCATCAGATGATAAAGCTGAAGTAAATGTAATATTTGGCCAGTCTCATTCAGTTCAAAGACTTTATACCACTCTTCTATCAGCTTTCCTTCACTTACAGATAGAAAGAGCCAGAACTTTAGCGTATGCAGTCAGTATACAATGCAATACAGCAGTTAACTGAATTGTGTGCAGAGCTGGAGCCACTGTATCAGTTTTCACATTAATGTGTGTGCGCGTGTGTCTAGTGAGGGGGAGGAGTGGCAGACAGTGAGGAGTCTCCTGGGGAAACACATGCTGCGGCCGAAGGCAGTGGAAGCTTATGATAAAACCCTGAACAGTGTCATCAGTGATCTCATTACCAAACTTCGCCTCAGCAGACATCCTCAGGGCCTTGTCACCGACATCGCCAGCGAGTTCTATCGCTTCGGCCTCGAGGGTAAGGTTTCATGCCGTCTCAAGGATCTTCACAGGATGTACCGTGCCACATAAATGCTGTAATCAAAGTCATCTGTATGCACAAATATTATGTCACATTGTTAACATTTTAAACACACATTCCTGTGCAGGCATGCCTTAATAATTCATGCTCATGTGCAGTTTACCATTCTGTCATCATTGTTATTGTACAGCTGGAGGGGAAAAAAGCATGTAACCATGATTTGATGAGAAATGACCCATTGTTGATCTTACGCAATGATATAACTAGCTACACTGAAGCTCTTTTTGCAGGAGTTAAATATAAATGCTGGATACTTGGAGCTGATGAAAGCTGCCAATATTTAAGTTTTCACTTTGCATGCAGACAGTATTATTTATTTAACCGTCACACCTTTAGTTAATAGGCATTTCTGATAAAGAGGCTAAAAACCTGGCAAATAAATGTCATGCATGTTCACCTCGGAAGCTTTCAGTAAAAAAAAAAAAAAAGCCGCTAGTCATCTCTTCTTGCCTTCGTCACGAGCTTTGTTTTTTTTTTTGCTTTGGCAGGCATTTCTTCGGTCTTGTTCGAATCCAGAATTGGTTGCCTGGATCAGGTTGTTCCCGAAGACACGGAGCGTTTCATCCAATCTATCAACACCATGTTTGTGATGACGCTTCTTACCATGGCCATGCCCAGCTGGTTGCACCAGTTGTTCCCCAAACCCTGGAATATCTTTTGCCAGTGCTGGGACTACATGTTTGAGTTTGGTAAGCTATTTCTCACAGCACAACATTTTAAGCTTGGACAGAAAAATGTTTAGAGATGATTGTAGTGGTACTTTAAAATTAAAAGTAATAACAGAAACTACAAGCAGGCTGCAGTCTCCAAAAAAGCACTTGGTAAAATATTATATAAAATGCACAAGTAAAAACTAAATATAAGTCATACACCAGAGATGAGACTACAGGATATTATAAAGATGCTTCTGGCTGTACTCAAGCTGGAGATGCGTTACACAAGCTGGCACTGCAATGTGGAACCAAGACAAACATGATGTTTCCACACTTGATGTTATTATTTTCCTTCTGCTCTCCTCTCTTGTCATTGGCTGCCGCCGGTTTCCACTTAGCCCTGGGTTGACATCCCACGCTCTCTCACACAGTACATTAAGACTCACAGAAGATCTGAGACATCAGACATGTTTTGACGTAATCGCACTGGTTCGAGCTAGATCGGCAAGAGGGAGATTAAAGTCTTTAACCTTCACGCACTTCAAGATCATTTGCGCTGAAACACGCGTGAATGTTAGTCATGAAATTAATACGTGGTTTTAGGGATTTTGTTTTTAAGAAGGGGAATTTGACCTAACTTTATTGAACCTGACACCAGAAAGTTAAAGACTTAACGCTCTGTGTCATCATCATCATCGAGGGATAAATGTGTCATGGCTTATCTCCACGTATCTGCAGCAAAAGGTCACATTGACCAGCGTCTGACTGCCGAAGCAGATAAGGTTGCCCGAGGAGAGAAAGTAGAGGGCCGTTATCTCACCTACTTCCTGTCGCAGACGGGGCTGCCCCTGAAGACAGTCTACAGCAACGTCACGGAGCTGCTCCTTGCAGGAGTTGACACAGTGAGAGTGGCTCCTTTGCCGTCTTCCTTTATCAGTTCCTGATTTTAGGCCAGCAAATGTTAAAACCATCCGTCACTCTGTTGTTTCAGATCTCCAGCACCATGTCCTGGTCTTTGTACGAGCTGTCCCGTCATCCAGATGTACAGGCCACTCTCCGGGCGGAGGTGTTGACTGTACTTGAAGGTCGAAAGATACCAGAGGCTGCGGATGTAGCTCAAATGCCTTTCCTGAAGTCCATAGTCAAAGAAGTGCTCAGGTATAACTCAAAAGGTTTCAGATATTTGAAGATGTTATGAGATTTGAAATCAAATTTAGCTTACGCTATTGTGTTTTGTTTTGTTTTCCTTATTTTTTTAGGTTATACCCTGTTATTCCTGCTAATGCAAGGGTCATTCCAGAAAGAGACATCCAGGTTGGAGGCTACCTCATCCCAAAAAATGTGAGTTCACCATCTGACTCTAGCCAGTGTCAAGTTGTAATGCTTCAGTTTTTCCATTATAGTCAAAAACCTATCTGACCAAAATAAAATTCCCTTTCAGACTTTGATTACCCTGTGCCACTTTGCAACATCACGGGATCCAGTAGTGTTTGCAAACCCAAATCATTTCAATCCCTATCGATGGCTGAACAAAGACCAGACTTATCACCCATATGCCTCTGTGCCCTTCGGTGTGGGAAAACGCAGCTGCATAGGTCGCCGTATTGCTGAGCTGGAGCTCTACCTTGCTCTTGCCAGGGTGAGTTACAGCAATTTTTGTCTTTTTCTTGTTTTTCCTGTGTGTTTTTTTTTTTTTGTCATTTGCCATTAAACTCCGACTAAAAAAACAAACAAACAAAAAACCCTAAAAGCATTCTTAAAGAATATACAACCCCATTTACCCCCAAAATATTAGGAAACTGTAATAAAGACAACATGTCAAATATTTAAGCTGTTGCATTTAATTACAGTGACATCCCTTTCTGACACACTTTTGTGTTTCCTTGGTGATATTTGTTGATTTTAATCGAGCACAGGTCTGGACTGCAGACAGACCATCTTCCTATCACCTTTTCTATCAACCTATCCTGAGCATACTTTTCTATCACACCAACTCTCTGAATGTCCTCCTTCACCACTTCTCTGTGGTCTTGCTCTTTTCCTCCTGCCTCCAGCTACATCTTCAACATCCCTCCTCTGCACATGTCCAAATCCTCTCAGCCTTGCTTCTTTAACTTTGTCTCCAACCTCCAATTGTTTAATTGTTCAAGTACTTGCATTCATTGAAACGGCTGAACTCGAAAGTGAAAGACTCCTGGAGAATTTCATTTAATAACCAATCATGTCACTAATCAATCCAATTAGCTATGAGATGTTTCACCGGTGTCTTTTAAGGATTATGTAGTATTTCCAGTCCTTTCTGAAAACTTGTTACTTGCATCTGAATTTAAACTGAACATATTATATCACATATTTTAAAATTTTCACTTTTGATATTTGACATTTTGTCTTTGTACTGTTTTAATTAATTATGGGGTAGAAAAGCTTTTCAAGTCATTACTTTATTTTGTTTTTTACTTACATGTTACACTGCATCCCAAGTTTTTGGGGGAAATTAGGTTGTACAGTGTATGTCAGCTTTTGGGAATGTATTTAATTAAGAAAAACACATTCTGTTACTTGGTGTTTGAACACAGCTTGTGTTGTAAGTAAGTGATTTCAGGGTCACTACGCAGCACTTGATTGCTTTTCATTTCATGCGCCCTGCGCTTAATCTGCTCTGTTTCTGATTTCATTAGATCATTTCAGAGTTCGATGTGAAGCCGAACCCAGAGGGAGCTTCTGTGAAGCCCATGACACGGACACTTCTAGTTCCTGAAAATGTCATCAGCCTGCAGTTTATTGAACGGTGACCTAATCTCCTGGAACTGATCAGTTACGTGCCTGTGAGCAGCAACAAGCAGGACAGAACAAGCAGGCGCCGTTATCGCGGTGCTATATTTCAGAATGGCCCTTCAGCCTTCATCCCAACTAAGACCAAAGCCCTTCTCACCTGCAGCCTGCAGGCGGACATGTGGAGAAGGACAGATGAATGAAGGGTGAGGGCTGATGGATTATTACAGAGGCATTATCAACTGGGAGAAGGGTAACGTCCAGTTTTGGCAAAAGGTGCTCATTTGTGCAAAGGCCAGACCCAAAGAAGGGATCTTCTGTCTGTCGTCTGTTCCGTCTGCTGTGCGGTACAATTCATGCAAAATCTGGGCCGGTGTGGAAAACGGATTGAGAAAGGAGGAGTAGGGAGAGAGTTGAAAGATATACAGTAAGGAAATAAAATCTGACGTTTGCGCCTCGCCTGACGTGTGTGCCCTCGCTACTCGTCCTTCATTTGATCTTTTTAGTCATTGCTGCATTTCTTGGAATTTGACAGAAATTAGTTTCCCTGAATTTGGTAACAGTCTCTTAAATCTGATTATGAACTGTGATCGTGCACGCTCGTAGATACGTGATATCTGCAGTGTCCTGATTGTGCAAATATTTCAAGAGAGTTTCTATGTACGTCCAGAATATCATGAGCCGCAGAGAATTTGGAGCTCAGAGTTCAGTCTTGCACACGGAAGAAAAAAAAAATCTACAGAGGTGTCCGTAAACATGATTGTCAGTATGTTGATTGTGTTGATGTGTTTTTAAAAGGTGCTTTTATGGTGCAAAAACCTTTAGTGATGGGTTCCTTAAAAAAAAGGCAGCTGCTAAGATTATGCTTGTGTATGAATATATAATGCCACTAAAATCCAAAAACAGGCCACTCTGTACTCTTTTCAAATTCTTCAATACTGTCTTTAGTTCACTGGCGAAGCTTATCTATTTTATTTTTATTTTTTTTTATACATCTAAACTTGAAAGATATTACATCATTTTGTAAGTAATAAGATTCACGATCTGAACTTTGTATTTATTCTAATTTATCGCATTTGTAAACTGTCACTGTAAATGTCAATAAACGGTTTCACGTTGAATCTTGGCCTACTGTTTGCACCATGTGTTTCTTTATGTGATGCCTTTGTGTCTCGTTAAAGAAAATATCTCCATCATCATCCACAGCACCATCAGACTAGGGCTCAGGTCAATCAAGCATGTTTTACATGGACCACACGTTTTCTACAAATGTTTGCATGAAAATAACGCTGGGTATCAAAGTTCCTGTGTGACATGACAGTGTAAACTGCTGTGTAGCTGCTGTGACTCAATAGCTTGGACCACATTGCTGCCAAGCACAACCTCAACCACAGTCATGTGTTTTATAGGTATGTGCTACAGTTGTGGTCACAGGTTTACTCATCATGGGCATGAGCTGTTCTTTTTCCAGGGTGGAATTATTTACAGCATGCATCTTTAATAACTTGCTTTTGTAAAAGTAAGCGAACATTGAGTTTCTACCCTATGCTCAAAAGCTGAGTCGGTGCCAGGAAACCAGACAATTTAAATGAACTCTACAAGAAATTTCCTGAAAAGATTGGTCAACTATCCAGCTAGAATTGTTCCAGAAACTTGTTAATGGCTACCAAAAAGCATATGGTCAAGGTAGAACTTCCTAAGAGATATTTAATCAAAAATGAATGGGGCTGTACACATATATTTGAGCGTGCATGTATATTTTTGACCTTGTGGGTATTAGAGAGAATCCAAAATAAATCCAAACTTGTACACTGTGTTCTTGTTTTTAAACAACATGTACGATGATGATTCCACCCGGGAAAAAGAACAGTTCAAAGAAATCATTGGCCCCAAATAACCATGACATTCAAGTGTGTTCTTGACCCCAAATCTATATTTTGCTATAGATAAATGGATATGGAAGAATCTGTGTGAATACTGTGATACAGTATCTGTTCTGCCAGGCCATGCAGATGAAATAAATGCTGCAGCTTATACCCTGTAGTGAGTACATTTGCAAAAGCGCCAGAAATACAATAAAAGTCTTCTGGAAAAGTTTTAAAGTGTCTGCTGGGAAAAGGACCAATGAGGCGTGGTGTATTAGATACAAAAGTATCAAATTACAATATTAAAACTGCTGGGCGGGTCACCTGGTGGACAACATGTTTTTTCATGAAGCTGCATAATTACATTCAAATGTGAAAATGTGGATTTTATTCACTTTTACACATATGGGGATTCACTTTGCCGGTTACATCTATAATAGAGAAGAAGTTAAAAAAAAAAGGTTACGTTTCAAATATTTACGACGTGCATTGTTCTGACAGATGAATACTCAGAGGAAGGCACTGTAATACAATATGTTAAAGATAACGGAGGCCACTGTTACTTTAGCCCGGATGGCGGCGGTGTTGCGAACAGCGGGTGAGCTAGACAGGAAGAAAACAACTGTCTAGCCAAACGGCTATTGCTAACGAGGCAAGCGTCAAGTAAGCGAGTTAGCCATGTAGCCGAAACAACGAGGGATTTACAAAGAGAAATACTGGACTATAATAACTTAATCTTTTCCTTTAAAGACACAACGAAGGGGAACAGTGTGGGAAGGTGAGTGGCAAAACAGCGTAACTTGTTACTTTAACTCGTTAATAATCAAAGCTAGCAGTTAGCTTAGCTAATGTTAGCTAGCCAACACAAACCAACGGTCATTTAAATCAAATTACGCTTGTTAGCTAAACAGACCTTAGTGTGTTGCTTTCTGAGAGAGAGGTTTGCTATAGATATCAATTTGTTATTAAATATAATGTTCTGAAGGCAGCAATAGATGGCATTTGTTTACATGTCAACAAAGGCCCCTCAAAGCTAGCTAACTTGTTAGTTGTTAATTCCCCTGACTCCTATAAGCAACAACAAAAACAACAACAATAATACTATTAGTCAGTTTTATACACAATTGTGAATTTAAACTATTAATAAAACATTTATCCTGTAATCTGTGTGCCCGGAGTAACTTTCGGTTTACGTCTGGAGTTATACTTTTATTGTTATTCCAGTGTTAATAAAATGCTTAATATCATGGCATTTGAATTTAGTGAAAACCTACCAGAGGAACCCGCAGTTCATCGCAAATGTAAAGAAACCTTTACAGACAACAGCATATTTAAAGTTTAGCGACTCTGTGAAACAAAGTGTTGCTGAGAAACGTTTTAACTCTTTCTTGCTTTGTTTCCTGACACATTTGAACAGATGCAGGCTGGGGACCCTGTGGTTGGCACCTCGATGGGAGTAGGTGGTGCTCAGAGTCGGTCAGAGGATGAAGAGTCACTTGGAGTAAAAGACCTGAAAAGGACAGCAACACAAGCATTTGGCAGTGGTGTTCCCAAACGCAGAAGTTCATCCAGGTTTGATATCTACTAATGTATATTTCATTATTTCAGTCAGGGTGGTATTCCAGCATAATTAGCAGGAAGAAATGAACCTTTGTTTTCTATGCTGATGGTGTTTCAGTACTGTGGTTTGTTTTGTTTTTTTCCCTGGTTAATCTTTAAATTTTTAAAGAACTACTTTATTATCACAATTTGTTTAGGTCAATAAAGCGAAAAAAGTTTGACGATGAGCTAGTGGAAAGCAGTCTTGTGAAGTCATCCAGTAGAGTCAAAGGTCCACCCGTAATGGAGCCTGTGCGCTGTTCGGGGAGTGAGCCTTCCTCAAGTGAGAAAAAAAAGGTAAATAAGACCAACAAATCCACAGATTATTGAGTGAATTCACATTAAAGATGATAAATATGCAAATTTTTTTATGATTCTCTTTCGTTTCTTATCTCCCCCCCCCCTTTATGATGGTTTTTCAGGTAACAAAATCAGGAGCAACTCTTACACCATCTCTGACAATGGTACTAAACCCTGCACCTTTAACCAAAAGAGTCAAGAAAAGCAAGCAGCCTTTACATATTACTAAAGACTTGGGCCGATGGAAACCCACAGATGATCTGCTGCTTATAAATGCAGTGTTGCAGGTGAGCTACCAAAAACAAGATTATTGTCAAAAAGGTTGTCCTGAATTAGCTCAAAGGAGCTGCTTTGTTTAATGGCTTTGATTGTCAGTGTATGATCTAATGTGTATTGATTCATGGTATCTTGTGTGGTATTCTGTGTTTGTCTGTAGACCACTGACTTAACTTCTGTTCATCTGGGGGTCAAGTTCAGCTGTCGTTTCACTTTGCGTGAAATTAAAGAGCGGTGGTACGCTTTGCTCTACGATCCCGTCATCTCAAAGTAAGACGCCTAGCATCTGTTGTTGACTCTGACTAGGTTTTTGCAGTCTCCCAGTCCTGCATATCTCCATATGCTTTATTACACTTGTGTGTTTGAGTCATCTTTTAAGCACATTCTTGGTTTTGTGTGTCTATTTAGGCTGGCATGGCAGGCCATGCGGCAGCTTCACCCAGAAGCAATTGCAGCAATCCAAAGCAAAGCTCTCTTCAGTCAGGCTGAGGAGGCACTGCTGGCCAAGATTGGTTCAGTAAGTTATATTGAGTGGGCTATCGTGTATATCCTATTATAAGTGCTCCACAGGGAAAATGCATTCCCAGTTAAGGTCACTTTTTAATGGCTCGAAATTGTGAGATTTCACCTTGATTGGAATGAAACACATTATTACTGTACATATTGGACTGTTGTATTCACACACAGTGTTGTGTTATGTTTCTCTCTAAACAGACCAGTCAGCCTAAACTGGACGTGTTTCAGGAGCTTTTAAGTAAGCACCCTAATGTCTTTCACCCGTCTCGCAGTCCCAAGAGCCTACTGGTGCACTGGCAGCTGCTCAAGCAGTACTACCTACTGGACGACCAGAGTGGTGAGTTCAGTTTCCCGGAGGATCCATCCAAATTCCCGTTGACAGTTTGGGTATTGAGCAGCTCGAAAACCATACAAGTATAACTTATGTCAACATCAGATGCATTGATCATCTTTGTGGCTTCGTGGGATTTGCAATGTAAACATTTTAATAGAGGCGAGGAGGATGTTTGGACATAAGATAGCAAACAGTTACTCCAACAGTGTTTTGAAAGATGAATGTTATAATTTTCTCCCAATAAAACTACTGAAAATTAACTTGACATACCTGGTTGGTCTCTAAAATATGTACAAAACAAAAAAAAATTAAAAACATCTTACCTCTGACTGTGTTTTGCAGTACAGCCCCTCCCAAAAGGTGACCAAGTTCTCAACTTCTCCGACGCCGAGCAGATGGTTGATGATGTAAAATTAAAGTAAGTCAGACATTCACTTCAGCATTCAGCAAATTTTTACTGCTTGTAACATTTCAGGTCATGCTAAAGGATATTACATGCTATATTTTCCAAATTCTTAAAAAGCATTGTATTTCCATGACTTCAGGGCACCTATAAGTTGTTCTGTTGCTTTTCACACAGGGACAGCAGAGATGAAGTGTTGGAACATGGTAAGTAATTTGCTTACGATGTAGATTCAGTTAATTTTGCACATCACACATCACCTTTATTCACATTAAAAGAAGAAGAGACAGGAGAGGTCACTGTGGATTACTGTGATTTAGGAAACAGTGGATTTTCTAATGTTCTTCTGAGTTCAAAGTGGTCCATATGTCAGTTTGTCCATGAGATGATACTAAACAGTAGACTGACCCTGATGCACCCATTGAAGTGTGAGTGTGTCTGTGATAGTTGGAAAGCACTGAAAAGCATGAGACGGCACTGTAAATGGGTGTATTTGGGTTGTAATGAAAAGTGCATTGAGCGTTCACTTCAGAAAGAAATGTACTATAAAAGCACCGGTCCATTTACCATTTACCAACCCATTTAATCTGTGAATGTCAAAAGAAGCTCAGATCACTTATTATCAATGTGAGCTGAAGTCAAATTCCAGATCAGATGCGTTTTGTTCCAGTAGTTCTGTATTGCAGATAATTTGTTTTTCCTTGTTAATTACCTGGAATTAAAATGTCTTAATGTATCCGTCTGTAGATGACATGGACGTAAACCTCTGGTTATATTAATATTTACATGAACGTCCTTTCCCCTGAAACCTGTTAAAACTAAGCAGGTTT